TCTTCTTCTTCTTCTTCTTCTTCTTCTTCTTCTTCTTCTTCTTCTTCTTCTTCTTCTTCTTCTTCTTCTTCTTCTTCTTCTTCTTCTTCTTCTTCCTCTGCAGGATCTCACTATGTAGTTGAGACAGACCTGGAACTCAATATGTAGCCCAGGCTGGACTTGAACTCACAGAGATCCTCCTGTCTCTGCCTCCCAAGTGCTGGGATTACAGGCATGCACCACCATGCCAGGCTGAAGTTTCTTATTCTTTATGGCTGAGTAGTATTCCATTTTATAAAAATACCACATCTTCTTTATCCAGTCTCCAGTTGTTGGGCAATTGGGCTGTTTCCAAGTTTTAGGTATTACAAACTGTTCCATTATACACATGGGTGTGCATAAATTGCTGTGGTATGGTTCTTTTAATTCTTTTGGAAAGATGCCCAGCAGAGGGATAGCTGGGTCAAATGGTCTACTTTGTAGTTTTCAATTTCCTTGTGTTTGTGAAGTTCTTGTCATTTCTTTTGCTATTGATCTCCAGTTTACACCAAAATAAACCACGTACTAGCTCATACAACATGTTTAAAGTAAATGAAAAGGAATTGAAGTTATCCCATGTACTTTAAACATGTTCTATGAGCTAGTATGTGGTCTATTTTGGAGAATGACCCATGTGCAGCCAAAAAGAATGTATATTCTGATTTTGTGGGGTGGAACACTGTAGACATCTATTAAGTCCATTTGTTCCAAAAGCTTGGCTCAATTCTAGTATGTTGTTGTTGATTTTTTGTCTACATGATCTGTCTATTTGTGACATCAGGGAATTGTGTTACCCCACTATCGTATTAGAAGCACACTGTCTCTTACAGGCCTGGATCCCTGGGAAAACTCAGGTATACAAAAGTTAATATGTTGTTTGCCCCATTAGTAATCTCTTCAGGACCCTAGAAAAAGCAATATCTGAACTTAAAGAGAGTGAACTCTTCTCACTAAGAGATATGGCAGATGAATCTCTCTGGGACATCTCAAGACACAACCTACACAGAGGATAAAGTATACACATGACTCATAAAATATAGAAATAGCATATAGAAAATATTTTAGTCAACTGGTATATTGCAAGGAGAACAAAAAAAGAGAGTTAAAATTAGTTTTAAGATTATTTCAAAATTTCAGTATTTGTAGCCCAGGTAGGGGAAAACTCTTTGATACAAACTTTCCTTTGAGGGAGGGATAAAAAGGCTAATATTCTGCTTCTTAATAAAAGAAGAAATTTTATAATCTTCATCTTGATTCTGATCTAATTAATTAATTAGATTAACTAGAGTAATTAATGTCAGAGATACCGACCAGCAGTCAAGGGAGCCGAGGACAGACTCACTTTTAAGGCCACCTAGGGTCAGGGTTAGGGTACCCGTTGGTCATGAATGCTGTAATGTGTCTTCTGTAGAATTAAGTGTAACTCAAAGCAACATGGAAGGGTCTCACAAGGATATGCTAGATTGAAAGAAGCCAGACAAAAAGGAATATATTTTCTGTGATTCCATTTGTAGATCTCAGGAAAACCGATCAATGGCCATTGTGCTAGTTTCTGTGATTGGCTGGTAATGTACAGTGAACAGAGAGGGAGGGAAGATTCCCAAGGTGTATAAGACATTTGGGGTCAAAGACGGGATGACTAACATGATTATAATAATTTTTCACAAAGGAGAATAAATATCGCAGAACACAGGAAATGGGGATACTTTAAATATGGGTAGGTAATGGTGTTTCTGTTATCCCACAATAAAAGATGTTCATAAAACAAATGGAATAAAAATTACTGAAGTTCACAGTCAGGACCAATGATGGGATAACACTATTCTGGAAAATACTAGAAATAGGAAAATCGTGGATGATTTAGATGAAAGACTTCCCAGATGGAGTTGGGGTTTGGTTTGAGGTGACCGCAGCTGGACTGGCCACCTCAGCCTATGTGTCCAGGTGGTGGGAATCAAGACTTGCTGTTTCCTGTAGACCTTTTCCTAGGAATGAAATCTTGTGAGTGAGGAAAGACTGAAGAACGGAGGAGCTTCCCTCCCAGACTACTGGCCATGGGTTCACTGTGGCGGTAGCCAAAGAAGCCACAGACCAGTCTTGAGCAGGAGCTGCTAGGTTTTCGCCATTTTAGCAGATGATAAAATGGTTCTTGTCTCGCTTTCCAATGGGTCTGAAGCCCTGTGAGAGCATCATGGCAGCTGCCGTAGGACTGACAGTGATAATCAGTCTCATCCTCGGACTGGGCCCAGTGATGGTCAGAGAAGCTGAGCAGCCGGACGTATAGCCAGAAAGTCGATCAGGGACCCTGGGTCTTAAATGCTATCAGTGCATTCGAGGAGTTTTGTGGCTATTCCTGGAGCGGTTGGTGCTAGCTCTTCCCGATATTAGTGCTGCTACCCACATGGGAGACGGTGACCTTCTGTTTGGGGGCTTTGGAAATGGAGGGCAGCTGAGCCAGCACAGAGTGGGTCCAGAAAATTAAAGTGGGAGAAACATGAAATGGTGATTTTATGTCTAGCTACAAAAGCAAAAAGCAAAATCCCATACTCTTCCCAGGCCCTTCTCTCCTCCCACATCTCATCGCCTGTGCAGTGTCTGTGTATGGGGAGGGCAGAAGGAGAGGGTATTGGTGTATGGTGGAGTCATCCCTGAGCCCTGCATTCTGGGCCCTCCAGCTGAGCAGTGCTTTCTTCTCCAACTGCCACCCACCTTACTCACGCTAGCCTAGGAACATTTTCCTCAACTGAGCATGGGTTAGTTTTCTGCATAGATCTTATGCTAAGCCACAAAACAAGTGTATACACGTAAGATGAGAAAATTCTTCCAAAATCATTTTGAAGGGCTGGTTTGTTTTATCCTGGTGGAGTCGTAGACAGTGCGAACCTGTTCTGGCACTGTGGCAACCATTGTGTAGAAGTATTTTCAACCTAAAAAGCTCATTCAAGCTTGCTGCCCAGGATGTTTTGAGTGGCTTGGTCATGCAGATGGGGATGAACAGCTGCACGGCTGACTTTGGTTCAAACTCAGCTGACACTAAGAAGAGTAGTCTTCAGTCTCTGGCTATTTTCTTTTCCCGAGTTCTTCAGAGGAATGAAATAATTCTCACATAAGCCAGATGCACATTTCGTGTGAGGCTCAAAATTCACCAGTTAGTCTCCAAAAACGATTTGTATTATTCGTTCAAAACACTCAGGTAAGTTTCAGAACGTGTCACACTAGGACCAGGGATTTAGTTCAGTGGCACTGTCCCTGCCTGGCAAGTGCAAGATCCTGAGTTCAACTCCCAGTATTGAAAGAAAGGAAGGAAGAAAACAAAACAAAACCACATAACATTCAAATTGAAGTACAGAGGCTGGGGATTTAGCTCAGCGGTTTGGTGGCCTGCCTTGCAAGTGTAAGGACCCGAGCTCAATCCCGGTACAAAAATAAAATAAAATAAAATAAAAAATTGAAATACAGATACCTAGGGGAGTATTTCAACACAGAATAGAGAAATACACAAATGCACATAGAGAGAAACGAGCAAAGCAAAGAGAAACAATGAGTGTGGATGTGGGAGACACAGTAGCAATGTCACAAACATCAATACATAGCTATTTGTTAAATGGGTGAGATGAGCTCTCACACATTCAGATCAAGAGGGCTCGAGAGGGTGTTGCAGATCTTTTCAAAGGAACCCAAAGGGCTTCAGAATGCTTTTCTGTTGCTCACTGGTCCATGTACCCCGTGAGAGTGGCTGCTTGCTCGCGGGCGAGAGTCCCCAGTTCATAGCAACAGCAGGTGCGTCTCAAACAGCGAATGTGATCTTGGGCTTGAGGGTCAGGTGGTGGAAGGAGATGGCGAAGGGCTCTATTTGTGTAAAGCGGGCCCAGGCTCTCCCCCTTCAAACTCAGTAGAAGACAAAGGGTCACCCTGAAATACAGCACCAGCTGCGGGGCCAGAAGATTCTTCTAACGTGAACACCGGGGCCTTCACTCCTCTCCTTAACCTTTTCCCACTCACCGTTCAGCTGTTAGAGATCTCAGATTTTCCGCTGGGCTTACCTTCTGCTTCTCCTCTTCGTTCCTAACGTGGGAATTGACCGTTGAGACATCGATACAGCTTGCTGTGTCCATGAAGCTCAGGGATGTCTGCTCCACCCTTCCTCCTCCTCCTCCTCCTCCTCTGCCAGCGCGCAGGTCAGGATGGTCCTCAGCTCACAGATCAGGACTCCTAAACCTGCTCCAGGAATGCTCCTCCCCCGGTCCTTTTCCCAACACATACTGCATTGGTTTGTTTTTCAGCGGACCACCGCAGCCGGCGCTGACTCCGTCACCCTCTGCGTCTACCTACCTCCCTGGGAGCCCCGGCCGAGCTCACCTGCACTCTGTGCAGCCAGCACAGAGCCTGCTGCATGACAGGCATCTCCAGAAGCCAGCGAAGGCACTGCAGCTCGTTATGTGGAGTAACAGTGACGGAAACCACGGCAAAAGGGACCGGGTGCCTGATTACTTTTTCAGGCACTAACTCTGGGGGCAGAGTGCTACTTAATGGCCCCCCAAATCCAGGCCGAGGACAAAGTTTACTACATCCGTGGCGTATCTGGTAGAACTGATGTGTCATGTGGGTAAAGCATGGTGACCCAGGTTAGAGGAAACATTTGACAAAAACTCTTCTCTGTTCCACTACTGAAGCTGCCATGCGTCTTTCAGTTTCTAGAGTCCTGAACCCTGGGAAACATTGCTTTTAAAAAAATAATGTACATGAAGAAACCCAAATAAATTCTTATTACTGCAAAGAACTCCCTGGGAACCAGGTTGCTGGGTGAAGTTCCTATGGAGGGTATGTCTGTAGCAATTATGGAAATACAACAACCACTTTTGTTTTGTTTTTTGTTTTGTTTTCTGAGAAAGGGTCTTGCTATGTAGTTCAGGCGGGCCTTAAAGTATCTATATAGCCTAGGCTCGCTCGAACTCCCAGAAATTCTCCTGCCTCAGCCTCCTGAGTGCTAGGATTACAGTTATGCACTACCATGCCTGGCTACTACAACATGGTTTGTTGTCTCCTGATGGTGACTACATGGAGTGCCACGATATTCTCCTTTCTGGGTGAACAGTGGGCTTGATTACAAACCACACTGTGACACGTCCCTTTTTTTGAATGGCTACTCTTTGAAGATAGCTTAACTTCTAAGACATTTTAGAATTCTGCCAACATACTAGAAAGCATGCTCTAAAGCAGCATTGCCCAATCTGTGGTCCACAGGCTGCATAAAACCTTAGATAGCTAGTCATGCAGCCCCCAAAGACAGCTCCATTATGCAGTGCTCTAGTACCCACTGCTTGGAGAAGGAAGGCACATAGTGTAGCGGGGAGTAGTGCATGCTCACTCAGCCTCCTGCGTCCAGTGAGTCAGATAAAAACTTCAGTGTATCTACGTTGAACTGCACTTTAGGTCTTGGAGAATAAAACTTAGTAAATACTAATGATAGTATTTCAACCTATCTATGTGCGTGCGTGCCTGTACTTGTGAAGACAGGCATTATTTTTATTAAGCGGATATGTACATTTTCCTATTTATTTTCACTCAACCATAACACATTGCCTGCGAATTTCCACATGCAATGAATAGAATTGCCATAAGATGTTTGACCCAAAGATACTTTGACCGTGCCTCTTTATTAGAGATTATAAGACGCATATTTTCAGAGAAGAATATCCCTCATTTCACAGCCATACCGTCATGTCGTAGCTTTTTGGCAATAGGCACATTTATGGCCAACTATTTTCAAAGGTGAAACACATGAGGAGAAAAAAGTAGATCAAAATTTGTGAAGAACACTGAGAAATCATTAAGAGTTGCATTCGCTTTCTATCAAACAAGACACGAATGCATCGGTATCACAAAAAATATGCTAAAACATTCAACTAATTTTTTATGTTATAATAGTAAAAGAGGGAGATTTGTTACTTGTATACATTAACTATAAAAATATATTTCAGGTGCAGCTCAAGACAATTCCTCTTTCCTCAGTGTCGCTCAGGTAAGCCAAAAGGTTGGGCACCCAAGTCTAGATAATTGGAGATAGAGGTAATTAAAATTTGAGGTGGCAGAAGGAAAGCTTTTAAACCATTTGACATTTTCTGGTGGTTTTATCAGATACTCAGTTTCTGGATTTTGAGATTAAGATACAAGGAGAAGAAATGTTACCATCACAGACAAGCTAACTAATAATTTTGGTAGATTTGGAATAATCTACCACAGAGGCAGGTAAAAGAAATATCCAGTAAGTCACTACAGAAATTTTGACCTTGAATATGAAGATTTTATTAAAAAGAGGAGCCATAAGAGAAACGCTTATGGAATGATGAAGACAGCTCCCAATCTTATCAACCACGCATCAGTGAGAAAATGTATATAAAATCGTCAAAAGCAACAGTGTTAGACCTCTGAGAATTTATTATGCTTTCAACAATCTGAAAAATATTACAAATAAAAATAAAGAGAAATCTTTTAAGAATTATAAATGTTGTGGTGTTTTTACTTGCTTAGGGTCATTGTTCTCTACCCAGGTAGAGAGTAGCCTTGAAATTTAACAGACCGCAAATCACTGTAGCTATGAGATCCAACAGAATAGCTTTCACTGAAGCATGGGTGTAAGAAGTCCAGAATTTCCTTATAAAGCTCAATACTCAAGTGTCATAATTAAAGCTTTTGGGAAGCCCATGGAATGGCCTTATTTTGTCTTTAGCCGGAGGAGGCTGATGAATGAGGTACCTACAGTTGCAAACCTTAGGATTCACAGCCTCCTTCCCTTTATCAAAGACTTCAACAAATCAAAGAACTCAAAGCGGGGCTTTAAAACATAAATTCACGTGCCAACACTCAGAATACATGTACTTACCCAAAACGGCTGTGGAACACTGAACATGTACGTGCTACAAAATTATGCATAAAGGAAATGGTATTATGCCTTCTTCTGGGGAAGAGCTAATTCACTGCATTTTCATTTATGCACATTTTTATACCTGTCACAGGCCAAGATTTCTTCTAGAAGTGAGAAACTCACTGATGAATCAAACAACAGCAAAATCAGAACATATAAGCCCCAAGTTATCGATGTGAAGTTAGACCCAGTGACCTTGGGAGAAGTAGAAATCCCTGGAACACGGGGAAAGGTGTGTCCTGTGACCGGAAGGGGGCGCTGTGGAGATTGCCTTTCACCCTTACATAGCTGCTCAATAAGAACATTCACTAAAGGAGCCCTGACCTTCCCCTGGGTCCTGTGTTTACTAGAGGGGACTCAGCGGATACATCCTTTCTGACCTGAGCAGAGATATTTATCTTCTCTCATCAGACAGGGCCCTCTCCCCAGGGATTTCCCCGACCTCCTCAGTCTGCATTGTGATCTGCGTTTCAGCACCGGGGCTCAGAGGGATTGGGGTAGTCATGATGGAAATACATTTGCATAAACAACCCCTCCTCTTCACACAATGAGAAAGAAAAGAAGGTCCGGGGAGTCCAGTCCCACTGTGAGGCTCCTAGTCCTATATCCATCATGGATTGGACCCCTCTTCTACTCCTGTTTCTCTTTTACTGCCCACATAGGGACTGGCCAGACAGCCAGCCTAAATCAATGCCCTTTGTCCAGGGTCTCAGAGAAGCTCAAATATGTCCTTGCTTGCTCAACCCTGACTGTGTCTGTTTGCAGGTTCCTCCTCCCAGCCTGTGCTGACTCAACCACTCTCCCTCTCAGCCTCTCTTGAAGCAGATGCCAGGCTCACCTGTACCTTGAGCAGTGGTTTTGTAGTTTCCGGCTACCACATTTCCTGGTACCAGCAAACATCAGGGAGCCATCCCCGATATCTGCTAAGATACTACTCAGAATCAAATAGGCATCAGGGCCCTGGGGTCCCCAGTCGCTTCTCTGGATCCAAAGACAACTCAGCCAATGCAGGAGTTCTGCTCATCTCTGGACTCCAGCCTGAGGATGAGGCTGACTATTACTGTCTCACGTATCACGGCAACAGTGGCACTCACACAGTGCTCGAGATGAAGGGGGAAGTGAGACCAAAATGTCCCCTTTGTCCTCCCGCACTAGGTTGGCACAGCTGCACTGTCTGGGACTAAGCCTAACTTAAAAAAATGAGTTCTTGACATTTTTTGTCACTATCTGATTTTCTAATACTTGTAGATGTTAAAATGTCTTTTCCTTTTCCTTGATGCATTGTTGAAACTTTCTCCATATTGTTCTGTATCAACAATTGCGCAAATCAGTTCCTGTAATTCAGTTTTCTCTCCAGACAGATGCTGGATGTGCAAGGAGGAGGTTGCTATTCTACCCATTTCCAGCTCAGAGTCTTCACTTGAGTCAGAGACACGTAGTCCGAGAGTTTCTTCTTGGTCACTGGATCCTCTGTACCCCAGACTAGATTTATTGATCACCTCCAAGAATGAGGACAACTTCCCCTTACCTGCTAATTCCAAACTATCTCTGGGAAATGTGCTTCTCTGCTGACCGTCACAGCAGGTCTCTACGGCTGCAAGGGGAGTAGCACAATTTTCTCTACAATGAGATGAAACTGAGTCTTTCACCTGCTAGTGAGCACAAGCACCCTAAGCATCAGGCTCCCCTCTCTTCTTTACCTCCAAGGCGATCTGTTGCTCATCCTTGGAGTTCCCTAATCCTGGAACACACAGATATTGCAGACAAATTCAGTATTCGTCCTACAGGACAGTTTTAGGAGGATGGGGAAATGCAGGTGCTGTGTGGATTCTGTGCCCTTGAAGAAGTCAATATGGGTGACACCTGGCCTGGTCTGGCACCCCATGTGAGCCTAAGAATTTTCTTCTAAAAACAGTGAGTCAAGAAAGAGTCTGTGGGAGACTCCAAAGTCTCTGCTGGATAGGCCTAACCTGAGTTATCTGGGAACAGTATCTGTTTATCTCCCTCTGCCTTAGTCTATTTAGGGTACAGTAGCAGAATACCATGAACCTAGTGGCTTCTAAAAAGTGGACATGTATTTCTCACGCTTGTGGAGGATGTGAAGTCAAAGATCAGAGTGTTGGCAAATGTAACGCCTGGTAAGGACTCGATCTCTGGTTCATAGCACAGTCTTGTTGTGCCCATACATTGTATAAAAACAAGCAAGCAAACTCTCTTAAGGCATTTCCTTTATGGCGCTAATTCTGTTCATGAAAGCACTATATCTCGGTCTGACTTCCTAATTTTTTCACCTTGGGAATAAGATTTTCACATAAGAATTGTGAGTGGACACAGACATTTAGAACATTGCCCCTTTGTCTCTGGTGCAAAAAAAATATAGAAACCACAAGGTCAAACCCATTCATTTTAATACCTGCCAGGCTGAGGAAAAAAGGGAACAATTTCTTCACTAAAAGCCATACTCTCTACCAACTCTGTCTGTAGTTCTCAGTACAGAGTAAAAAGCTGTGGACTGATTGCTAATCTAGTAGATTTTCTGCATTCTCATGCATCCACTGAGAAGTGGGATGGATAGGGGAAGCTTGGTGAATTTGGGGGCTGTCTTCTTGGTGAAACATCCCCGGAAATGTTCTATCTCTTATCAGTAGAGTAGAGTAACTTTTATTAAACCTATCTTTTATTAAATGAAGCCTTACCCGAGAGGCTGTATGAGAAGTGATAGGAAGGAATTAAGACTGGAGTCAGTTTTCATGCACCTGAGTAACACAGGGGGAAGCTGAGGTCACCAGATACTGTGTTGACTACATCATAAACAATTACTGGCTGAAACTTAAAAACTGTGTAAAGGCAAAATACAAAAATATCTTTGGCAAGAACTGTGCCCGAGCCAAATTTTAGTTACATATATTTTACAATAAAACAACTATTAGTAAAGCTTAAAGCTGTGTAAAAAGATATATAAAATTTTGTTTTCATACTTATATACCTTATCGTGCTTTAATTCATCCTCATAAATTAAAAAACATTGTAATTTTATTTTTTTTCCTTTTTATTGAGGTTATTGGTACAATCTAGGTATACAAATACAGTTACAAATATATTTTACAAAAACAACTATTAGTAAAGCTTAAAGCTGTGTAAAAAGATATATAAAATTTTGTTTTCATACTTATATACCTTATCGTGCTTTAATTCATCCTCATAAATTAAAAAACATTGTAATTTTATTTTTTTTCCTTTTTATTGAGGTTATTGGTACAATCTAGGTATACAAATACAGTTACATTCATCACTGGGATTCTGTATCTTTACATAATAGGTCTTGATTCTCATTTTTCCCCTTGTCCCTGCCCTCCCTTCACCCCCTCCTCCCCTCCCCATTTACAAACACTTTATTTCCATTTTTTCAGTTTCTCATAGTTTTTTCCTCTCCCTTATTACCTTTCCCCCACCCTTCCCACTTTCCCTACACCTTTAGCCTTTACTTCTTATTTCACATTATTAATCGTCTCATTAGGATCCTGTGTACTATTATAGTTTTTCACACCAAAGAAACTATTCGGTATTTCAGTTAAAGAAATCTCTGTATGAACATTAAAAATAGGGAATCCTAAAATAAAACTAAAAAGGAAAGTAAAAGAGAAAAGGCAATGATGTAACATCAAAATAATCCTTAATTCTGGAGATGAAAATGGTCCCTGAACATATTTAAATTGCTTCTCGCTCTTATAG